CGAGCTGTGAGCAATCCTTGCGACGTCATCGGGCTGAAATAGTCTTGCCTCCTGCGCTCTGACCCATGTGAACGACGCTGGACGAGCCTCGGGCAAGCCGTTTGCCGAGAACTTGCGGTAACAAGGAGCCTGCGATGCAAACCAATCCGCGCATTCAGCAACAAGACCGCCGCACCGACGCCGCCCGCCGCGAGGCATTCGATCAGCGTGATCGCAGCAAGCGATATGGCATCGGGACCATCGAGCGCAAAACTGGGGCGAAGCTGACCTCCGCCGACTCGCCCATACTGCGCATGATCTGAGACTCAGTCTGTGCCGGTGCTGACGGCACACGTGGCCGACCATCGGGTGAGGCCAGTTTCAGTTGCGGTGGTGCAAGCACAGCGGCGCCATGTCCGATCTCTTCCACGCTGCGCTTGAACAGGGCCCATTGAAATACTGAGGGCGCTGGTGGAGTGCTCAGTGCAACCGGCCCGCCAGATCATGGTCCCCACCCGTCACAACCGGAGCCAGGTAGCTGAACGCGAGTGGGATCCTGGCCGCACCAGCCGCCGAGGTCCAGGGTAACTAGGTGCGCGCCTGCATCAGCTCCGCGAGTGTGTACGCCGCGAGGTCAAACTGAAGATTTTGAATCTGCTCAGTCAGCTGATCAGCAAAGCCTTGTCCCAGTTCTGCAGCGAACGACTCGGCAAGGTTCTTCCACGTAAAAATGGCAGCAAATTCCCGGTGAAGGTTCCTTCGGTCATTGATAGCGCTGGTGCAAAGAGAGAGCACTTTTTCAGTGCCACGGCCAGCGGGCTTTTCGCTTGCTGGTGCGGGCTGCGTGGCATTGCGAGATCGTGCAGTCGCTCAAGCACCGACGCAATGTCTGTGTGCAACGAGAACAACGCTGCGGCTATGTGAATGTCTGACGGCGTGGTGTGTGCAGCGCCTTCGGGTCCCATTCAGTTGACCGTTGACGAACTGACTGTGTCCATCGCCGGCTACCTCACAAAGATCGAATAGGGAGAATTCACTCGACGACGCGCAGCACTTCAGTTTCCCGATCGCGACTGGGTTGCAAGAAGGCGTTTATTCCGCTGTGGACCTTCTTCGAGCACCCTATGGCATGTCGCACCCGGTACCTGTGGCGACTCAGCCCTCTTGCGCTCTAAGCCTCTGAGTAAGGTCGCCTCGAAGTTTTCGGCGTCAAACGGCTTCACAAGAAACTCGTCGAAGCCTGCTGCGAATGCCTTCTGACGGTCCGCATCCGTACCATAGCCGGTCAGAGCGATCAGCAGTATCGCGTGGCCACCCGGCGCCCGGCGTACCCGCCGGGCCACCTCGTGGCCGTCAAATCCGGGCAGTCCGATGTCGACCACGGCGACGTCGCTTGGTCTTTTCAAGATCAGTTCGACACCGGAAGGACCATCCGCTGCGGCATTGATCGTACGGCCCTGTGCTTCCAGCACGAGGAGAAGCGCCTCACGGTTGTCAGCGATGTCCTCGACGATGGTGATGTGTAGATCATCTTCTGCCGGTGGCGGAGGTGCTGAGACCAACGGCTCCGCGCGGGGGAAGGTCACGGTGAAAGTGGCGCCATGCCCCGGCCCCTTGCTGGACGCATTGATGGCACCGCCATGGAGGCTGACGAGCTTGTTTGCCAGGGCGAGACCGAGTCCAAGGCCCCCCTGTGATCGTTCAACGCTGCGCTGACCTTGAGTGAATGGTTCGAAGATGCGCTCAGCCAGACCGGCTTCAATCCCTGCGCCGGTATCTCGGATCCTCAGCAGGCTGGTCTCACCTTCGCCGCTGACGTCCAATGACACGGTGCCCCCGGCGGGCGTGTACTTGCACGCATTGTCCAGCAGGCAGGTGATGAGCAGCTCGATGCGAGCCTCGTCTCCCTCGATCCAGGCGGGAACATGCTCCATGCTCATCTGCAAGTGAGCGCATCGCCCAGTTTCTTCGAACCGCATCAACACCTTGGCTGCCACTTGCGCGAGGTCTAGCCGGCTCTTGCGCAAGACGATGTCGTCGGCGTTGAGCTGGACGACATCGATGAGGTTGTTGATCATGGCGGCCAAGTGAGAGGACTGGCGCCGAACGATCTCCTGGCTGCGGCCGATGGCTTTCGGCGCCGCCGCATCTGCGTCCAGCACGCCGACGGCCGACACGATGGCGCTGACAGGATTCCTCAGCTCGTGCCCCATCATGGCCAGCAATTGATCTCTGGCGCGGCTGGCCGTCTCCGCCTGCCTGCGTGCTGCTGCCTCTCTTGCCACTGCTGCATTCAACGACTGCTCCCGGGCCAGGAGCTCTGCGTCGGCGTTGATCAACGCCTCGTGGACGGCCCTGGCCTCCCTGATGGGCAGACGCAGATCCCTTGGTATCTTTCCGCCCACGCTCTCCGCTGCCGCGCGAAGACCGGTCAAAGCGTCGTTGATCGCTTTTCCCAGGCGCCATGCGGACAGCAGAGCACCGAGGATGGCACCGAGTCCCACCAGCGCTACCAGCCATGTCTTCCAATGCAAGGCCTCGTTGACCTCCTGCTCAGGAACGCCTGTCGAAAGGATCCATCCACTGGTGGCGGAGCGGCTGAACGCGACGTAGAAGAGGCTT